GGTCCAAAAAATACGGTACTTTAATTCGAAATGTCAATTATTCAGACATATCTGTTTCTTTCCATCCTCATTTTTAATAGAAAATAGATAAATAATAGTATATTATAGGTAAAATGAAATATAGCAGATAGGATATAGATAAATTAGTTGTTTATCGGGAATAGATTTTTGGTTTAAAGGTATATGTAATGAAATATAACCAAAATATTGCTTGTAAACATGATGATGTGAAATTTTTGGCTAGATATTTTTAAATGCACTGCTCTTTTTTCTGTAACATTAAAAAAACTAATAAACTTTGCCCACACGTGGACAATTTTAAAAAAAAGGATTGGCCCTAAAGCAGGCCTGGAAAGGGCCTCCTGACTCTGCCTTTTTGCTGACAGAACCAAGCTTGGTTGCCTAGCAACAGCCACTGAAGGGAGAGTGAGCCACACAGCAGTTTTTGCAGTTTATTCAGACGAAATGGCCAAGCCGGCAGTGGGCGGGGGAGAGGAGAAGACCCAGCCCCCAGCCAATGGCACGAGTACTCTTGAGTGGCAGTTGATGGGCCAATGGCTAATGGAGCGCCCAGCACAGCCAATGGGAGAGCCTGAAAGTGCCAATATGCTGAATATATATATGATATCTAATAGCAACGTGTGGCCCCCATCTGTGGATATCCCAATATGCAGACAGGAGCCACACAGACACTAAAATTTCCCTGCAAACTTGGGGGACTCCCCAGGTTGCTGGTGGGAGCCCACAAGACATGGCAGTGTTTGGGAGCTGTTCTCAGACTGCTGCAGTGGTGGTTGTCCAGGGGCCATTCTGGGCCCAGAGCAGCTCCTAGACACCACCATTACCAGGCCCAGAGGCTTGGAGCTGCACCTGGTTCAGTGATGGGGGTCCACACCCAGAGCAGCTTCCAGCAGGTCCATAGCTAGGTGGCGGCGAGGAAACTGTTCCTCCACAGATGTGTCCAGCACCCTCTGGGAGGATGATAGACCCCCCCTATATGGGCGGGGGGACCTCAGGTGGGCAAAGAGCAGTGCCCAGAGGCCAGTGCTCCTACAGGCCGAGGATGTTCTCCAGCCCCCAGCAGGAATGGGCCGGGATGGCAGGAGGTGGTGAGAGCAGGGGTCCACCCCTCCTTGAGAAGCCCCAGTTCTACGCCCGACCACTGGAGGGGGTGAGTCCAGCCCCGATGGGCAGTCCTACCCCACCCTGAGTGCACTTCCCCTGGGCACAGCCAGGCAGGCAGACAGGAAGGGGCTGGGCTGGCTGGCTGTTTGAATACCAGGTGGGAGGAGGATCGGCGGATCTGAGCTGGTAAGAGTGTGCTGGGCACGGTGGGCTCCAGACGGGGGCCCAGCCAAAATTATGGTGCAGGTCGGACGCCCACGCTTTTGCACAGGCAAAGTTTGAAGCCATGCATCCCAGCAGCCAAACTTCCAGAAGCTGCCCCATCCAGCACCTGAAGGAGACAGCTGAACTGCTCCACGACAAAGCATTTCAAGGAGGGCAGAGTGCAGTTCATGGCCAAAAAGATGGGCTCGTAATTGGGATTCTTTAGGACCATGGATCCTTCTCATGGATTGCTGCCTTGACACAGTGAGGGTTTGACGCTCAGCCATGGATGTGTCTGATGGTGAAAGGAAAGTCCGATGCTGCAAAGAACAATACTGCATAGGAACCTGGAATGTAAGATCTATGAATCAAGGTAAGCTGGTTGTGGTCAAAAATGAGATGGCAAGACTGAACATCGACACCTTGGAAATCAGTGAACTACAGTGGATGGGAATGGGCAAATTTAACTCAGAAGACCATTATATCTACTACTGTGGCCAAGAATTCCATAGAAAAAATGGTGTGACCTTTAGGGTCAACAAGAGAGTGAGAAGGGCAGTAATGGAATACAATCTCAAAAATGACAGAATGATCTTGGTCTGAATCCAAGGCAAACCATAAAACATCACAGTAATCCAAGTCTATATCCCAGCCACTGATGCAGAGGAGGCTGAAGTGGACCGGTTCTATGAAGACCTACAACACCTCCTAGAACTAAAACCAAGAAAAAAATATCCTTATCATCATAGGGAACGCTAAAGTAGGAAGTCAAAAGGTAACCAGAATAATGGATAAGTTTGGCCTCGGAGAACAAAATGAAGCAGGGCAAAGGCTAATGCAGCTTTGTCAAGAAAACACACTGGTCATAGTGAACACTCTCTTCCAACAACCAAAGAGGCAACTCTACATATGGACATCACCAGATGGGCAATATCGAAATTAGATTGATTATATAATTTGCAGTCAAAGATGGAGAAGCTCTATACCAGGGGTGGGCAAACTGCAGCTCGGGAGCCGCATGCTGCTCTTTCACACAGTCTAATTTCATGTTAATAAAAAGCAAATATGCATATTTTCCAATAAAAACACATGTGTAATATTTGTTCATGTCTTGCGGCTCCCAAACATCTGATGTTTATTCTGTGTGGCTGTTACGTTAAGCAAGTTTGGCCACCCCTGCTCTATACAGTCAGTAAAAACAAGACCTAGAGCAGACTGTGGTTCAAATCATGAGCTACTCATTGCAAAATTCAGGCTTAAACTGATGAAAGTTGGGAAAACCACTAGGCCAGGTTTGATCTAGATCACATCCCTTATGAATATACAGTGGAAGTGAAGAATAGGTTTAAGGGACTATATTAGATAGACAGAGTGCCTGAAGAAGTATGGACGGAGGTTCATGACATTGTACAGAAGGCAGCAATCAGCACCATGCCAAAGAAAAAGAAATGCAAGAAAGCAAAATGGGTGTCTGATGAGGCTTTACAAATAGCTGAGGAAAGAAGGAATGCAAAAGGCAAAGGTGAAAAGGAAAGATTTACCCAACTGAATGCAGATTTCCAGAGAACAGCAAGGAGAGATAAGGAGGCATTCCTCAATGAACAATACAAAGTAATAGAGAAAAACAATAGAATGGGAAGAACTAGAGACATCTTCAAGAAAACCAGAGAAATCAAGGGAACGTTTCGTGCAAAGCTGGCCATGATAAAGGACAAAAACAGAGGGACCCAACAGAAACTGAAGAGATTAGGAAGAGGTGACAAGAATACACAAAAGAAATATACAAGAAGGATCTCAATGTCCTTGACAACCACAACAGTGTGATCACTGACCTCGAGCCAGATTTCCTGGAGTGTGAACTCAAATGGGCTTTAGAAAATATTACTAACAACAAAGCTAGCAAAGACGACAGTGTCCCAGCTGAGCTACTCAAAGTACTAAAAGATGATGCTGTTAAAGTGCTGCACTCCATATGCCAGCAAATTCGGAAAATGCAACAGTGGCCACAGGATTGGAAAAAGTCAGTTTACATTCCAGTCCCAAAGAAGGGCAATGCCAAGGAATGTTCACGCTATCCCACAATTGCAGTCATTTCACACGCTAGCAAGGTCATACTCAAGATCCTACAAACTAGGCTTCAGCAGTACGTGGATAGAGAACTGCCAGAAGTACAAGCTGGGTTTTGAAGAGGTAGAGGAACGAGAGATCAAATTGTTGACATTCACTGGATTATGGAGAAAGCAAGGGAGTACCAGAAAAACATCCACTTCTGCTTCATTGACTATGCTAAAGCCTTTGATTGTGTGGATCACAACAAACTATGGCCAGTCCTTAAAGAGATGGGGGTACCAGACCACGTCACATGTCTCCTGAGAAACCTGTATAAGGGTCAAGAAGCGACAGAACTGAATATGGAAGAACTGATTGGTTTAGCATAGGAAAAGGCGGACAACAAGGATGTATATTGTCACCCTGCTTATTTAATTTATATGCAGAGTACATCATGCGAAATGCTGGCCTGGATGAATCACAAGCCAAAATTAAGATTGCTGGGAAAAACATCAACAACCTCAGATATGCAGATGATACCACTCTAATGGCAGAAAGTAAAGAGGACCTAAAGAGCCTCTTGTTCAGGATGAAAGAGGAGAGTGCAAAAGTTGGCTTGAAACGCAACATCAAAAAAAACTAAGATCATGGCATCCGGCCCCATCACTCCTTGGCAAATAGAAGGGGAAGTTATGGAAGCAGTGACGGAAGGGGTTGGAGGCAAAAGAGAGGGTAGGTTGACAGATAAGGAAAGGGGGGAAAACAGGGGTTGTCAATGAAGGGCATTGGGGTATGTTGACAGATAAGGGGAGGGGGAGAAAGAGGGGGGATTGTCAAATAAGGGGAGGGGGTAGGTTGACAGAGAAGATAAGGGAGAGACTGATGGAGAAGGGGTGGAGGCAAAAGAGAGAGGGGAAAGGTTGACACATAAGGGGACGAGGAGAAAGGGGCAGAGTATCAGAGAAGGGGAGGGAGGAGAAATAGAGGGGGGGAAGACTGACAGAAGGAAAGGGGGTGAGTAACAGGAGGAAGATTATTAGAGAAGGGGAGAAAGAGGGGTCCCCCACTTGCACTGCCTAATGCAGAAAACTGGGGGGGGGGAATCCATGATTCCCAAAATGTGTATTACTGCAAGTGTCAATTCGTGGAAGAAGCACAAAAAAAGTCAGACGGCATATGAAGAACAGCCATAGCTTAGCTGCAGATGACATGTTTTGTACACAGGTTCTGTTTGTGACATCTCTGGTTAAAGGATCTTAGGTGGTTAACCTTTTTTATGCCTGAGACTCTGTGAAAGCAACTCCCAATCAAGATAATTCACTTAGTCACAACGTTTCTGGTGACTGAGCACAGGACATAGCATGATTAACTACTGAACACATTTGTATGCATTAGACAGTACAAATGGGGAACCTGCAAGAAACTTTATTTAGTGGAAAGTGTTGGAATTAAAATTTTCAATGGCACACTCAGTATTAAGCCATTACAGATCCTTGAAAAGTAAGTATGGATTGGATCTAAGGTTTCTGTGAATGAAGAAAGTTTGCACAAATTATCTTTAATTACTTCTCCCAGTTGTCTTTTATAAAGCTGCTGCATAGAATCAGGAGGCTCACCTAAATAGAATGTATATGGATGAGATGGCCAAAGGAAATAGGGAGAATTGGTCAAAAGCACCCACCTAATTCTTGAGTGAATGCAAGGTAAACACAGTAGGTTCTACCAATTTGCTGCAGTTCACTATTTTCCATTCCCCCCCCCCGAAGAACCAATCACATCAAGTGGTGAGTTAAACATCAATTGTACATGTTTCTGTTTTGTTAAATACAAAACTTCTATTGAATACAAGATCACAATGCTTTGCTTAAAGAGGTCATAAAACTTGCAGCTTTACTTACTGAATGGTACATACCTTGCACAATGATAAATGCAGTTGCATGGATGTTATCTATACTGTTGGTTGCAAAACATGTATACTCGCCACCATCTTCCTGAACCACATTTTGTATATAAAGCCCTCCTGATGTAGTTATGGTGATGCGGGGATCATTTGGTAGAGGAGTTCTGTCACCTTTTGTCCATGTGATACGTGGTTGAGGATGACCAGCTGCACTACATTCCAAAGTGACACTTTCTCCAACCAGTACCTCTGTGTTTTGTGGGTGAATCACAAAACTTGGCCTAGCTGTCAAAAACAGAAAGAATCTAGAATAGCTTCAAATAATGTAACCACTGACTAGCTCACAGCCAAGTTGTAAACTGACCTCGGCCTTGTGACATTTCCTATGGTTAAATTTTTGCTCGTGATATTCAGTAATATTCTATAATGTAAATATTGTATTTGTAACTATGTATTTTGCATTTCTTTTCATTTGCTTACGAGTAATTGGTCTGTGAGCTTTAAAAATAAAATGGAAATGGAAACTATTTTTGCCATAGAAATGGGATGAAAGAAATATCTTTAATACTAAATTAAGCAGTATGATTACTGTCAAATTAATGTTCAGAGCTCATTGCCAAAAATAAAAAGGAAACAGTACAATTAGCATAACTAGATAAGACAGTGGCAGGAGCAGGACCCAACAGAAGAGGATGAGTTACTTTGTGTGAATGAGGAAGAATTCAGCTCGATCATCCTACCCAACTAAGCTATGCTTTAGATATCCTTCACAAGCTCTTTTTACAGAAGAGTGCAAGTGAATCCAATTTTGGTCTTCCAATAAATCTTACAGTTCACTAAATTCAGGTGTCAAATATAGATGTGGGGGACCCCCCCAGGTTTACAGAGAAATGAGGACCCCTCTGAAATGGCAGGGGATTTAAATCCCCACAAAACAGAGGCATATTGGATGCACAGACAATGTAAACTGATTACTCAAGGAGAAGAGCCAGCTGAAGGAAACTGCTAGAGAGCCCAACACCGAAGCCAGCCCCACTGCCTCTCCTTGGTAGACAGGAAGTTAGGCAGGCAGGAAGGAGGAGTGGGAGCTGCCACTGCCTCCTGTTCTCTGCAGTGGAGGAGGAGCCAGAGTTGCCTCACCCTCACTATAGAAGAGGCAGTGCCACAAATATCCCCCAAAACAGAGGAAAGAGGAGCCCCACTGACAGAGACGGAGGAGGGGGGGAGCTACTACTGTATAAGCCAGATAGGTAGAGACAAGCAAGCTACAGATGGGAGAGCAGAAGTTGCTGCTGCCCCCAGCCCACCGCTACTTTCTGCAGAGCAACAGGAAGGGCAACAGGCAAAGAGACAGGCAGACAGAGCAGGGGGAGGAGACAGACGAGATTGCTCCCCTCCCCCCGAATCTCAGGTCTCCAGTTTACATATCTGTCTTCCAACTCCAAAAGTTGATATGAGGTCCAATGAAAAGGAGATTGGCCTTCAAATGAACATTTAGTCCGTGGCACTCTTAGAGTTTACTTACTTTATAGGAAAAGGTGAAAGTCATATCTAATTTGGCCAAAGTACCACAGATTCCATATTATAGAATCATCGAATCATAGAATGTTAGAGTTGGAAGGGACCTTGCAGGTCATCTAGTCCAACCCCCTGCACTCTGCAGGAGTATACTGAAAGATTGCTGTTTTACAACTTCAGCAAGCGGTATGGAACCAGGAGCAGTATTTCCCCCAAAATTTGGCATTAACAGAAATCTGCATACCTGGTGAACCAAAGTAGCGTAGAGTGACTTCTTGAGTTTTCACTTCTCCAGCCACATTTTTTGCCATGCACTGGTAAATGCCTTGGTCAGTCTCTTGGGTGTTCTGAATCATCAGTGTGCCATCGTCAAGCAAATTTAAACGGGAATCTGCTTTCATACTAAGCTCATTACTAAGAAAAAAAATATCTGTAGTAATAAAACTTTTAAATTACAAGCAGTGTTCCCTCTAAGCTGAGTTAATGTGAGCTAGCTCATAGTTTTTAAGCCTCCAGCTCATACATTTTTGTCTTAGCTCAGGAAGGATGGCTCCAGAGCAACTAATTTATGCAGCAGCCAAATTGCTCACTCACAACTTTAATGCCAGTAGCTCACAAAGTAGAATTTTTGCTCACAAGACTCCATAGCTTAGAGGGAGCATTGATTACAAGTATACTGAATACTTCCACTGAAGTAAAATACGAGTGTATTGAATACTACCAAATATGAACACAGTAGTTTTGTTCAACAAGTGTGTGTGTGTGTTTCATGCACATGCTCAATAATAGCAAGTGTGTGTGTGCGTGTGTGTTTCATGCACATGCTCAATAATGTGTGTTAATCAGTTTGCTCAAAGTAATTATTGTCCAGAGTGGATCTTGTTTTATTGTCTGACTCTCTGGAAAGTTCTCTCACCCCCGCTTCTAATCTGAATATAAATGTATCCACCTAATGAATAAACACTCCATGAATCTGGTGAAGTTAGCTCTGACTCATGAAAGCTTGTGCTGGAATAAACTGTATTGCTCTTTAAGAACTCCTGTTTTATTTTCCTGCCTGAGATTACTATGGCTACCCACCTAGAATGTGCAAACAAACATGCATACAAACAGTTCTTGAAACCTTAAGGCTGTTCAAAATAATTTCTTTCTCTAGTATGAGTCTACAGAGAAAAACTCCATTTTCTAAAGCCATCTTACTTGTTTCGAAGCCAAATAATTTCTGGTTTGGGATTGCCTTCCGCTCTGCAAGTGAAGTAAACGGTATTCCCTGAGGTAACATCCACATCCTGAGGCTCTGATGTAATTCTTGGCCTCTCTGTGCCATCAACAAATCATATTAAAAGAAAAAAAGTTTCTTAATTTTGATTTTAAAATGAATTGTGGTTAGTTTGTCTCTTTGTTTTGACTCTTTGTTTTGACATAAAGTATACAAAACCATTTCCTACTTATGCTGGAATTAAAAATGAAGTGCAGGCTTAAACCACATAAAGCATATCATTAATAATATTTTGATTTACATCTAAAAATGTATTTATTTAGAATTTTTTTATGCCACCTCTCCAGGAAACCTGCCATATAAATGAGTTTATAGTACAAAGTACTGTAGGATAAGCAATGCACAGTTTTCTTAAGACATCTTTCTTAAAGCTAATGTAAATGGGCAGCTGCTAACATTATTCCCTTCTCTTAAACAACATATGTGGGAGGGGGGAGCATATGTTTGAAAGCATACAAACTCTGAAGTCCTTCAGCACCGTTTATACAGGATCCAATTACTATTAACAACAGCTGTAAAGATTTTTTTTAACCCTATGAAGTCATGAAGGACATATAGCAACCTGCCAGGAGGTTGACAATATCCAGGTTTTTAAGTATCATACATGTAGCAATACCAGGATTCTAGATCTTTGGTGCGCCACAGCACATAAAGAACGTAATTGATAAAATACATTTGGTTTGGTAGGTCAAAGGTCATGCAGAACTGGTTTAAAGTACCTTTAATTTTTCTCAGGGGTTTTAATTTTAGCTCCATTGTTGTAAGTATGTACATTCATAGAACAGTACATAGGAATGTCTGGCAGGTTGCCCAGAATCTCTACTTTGCACATTTACTATTTGCCTCACAACAAATGAAAATAAGACAAAGAATACTGTTATTATATTTTCAGTATTAGCCTAGGGATTTTTTGTAAAGGAGACAACTGTTATGGTTCTTACATGATTTTAGGGCTTATTGCCTCACATACCTTCACACTGTAAAATACAGGAACAGAAGCCAGCAGAGAAAGAAACAGAGAAAAAAATCCCAAAGACAATATTAAATGCTTTATCAGTATTAAGTACAATTTAAAATGAGATGTACTTCCCATTATATTCCCACAAAAATGGACAATAAAGAACCATAATGAAAATATGGAGGAAGGTGGATTTCCACCTCTAACCAAAAAAAATATCTCACCACAGTTAAGTTCTTCCGGGGTTATTGTGGCTACTGATCTTCCCTGGATCCTCCTTGGATATTCACAAGTAGCTGCAGCTTGGGCATTACCAGACTCAGCATACGTCTTCAACAAGTCTGCCAGCCAAAGTATTTCACAGTCACAATGAAGTGCATTTGAATCCAGACGCCTATGCAAAAAAGAAACTATCACTGTTAATGAGATTAAACCATTTATTAAGTTGTCATGATTAATAAACAGAATTTCAAGTCACTTGTACTTGCAGGATGCATATAAATAATTAAATACTTGGACCTTTTTAGAATGCTAATGCACACTAATGTCTAGAAAATACTGACTTCATTGGTGCCATCAAAACATCAATTGTGACTCTTCAACTATTTGTCCCAAGCATTGAATGAAGCAGTATTTATGTGAATAAAGTATAGGCTCTAAAAACAAATCCTAATACAACATATCTGCAGAAAATATTATTAGCTTTTCAGAACACAACGGTTATTGAGAATTCAGTCAACATTTAATCACCTGAGAGAATCAGAACATTGTAAAATAATTTTATCTATAAACATATGCATGCATGAATTTTTCCCATGCAGTGGCACAATGAAAAAAAAAGTTCCTTGCTGGATCAGGAGAATGTTGTAGACATAGTTTATCTTGATTTCAGTAAGGCTTTTGATAAAGTTCCACATAATATTCTTGTTGACAAGCTGTTGGATCCTATTACTGTTAAGTGAATCTGTAACTGGTTGACAGATCACACCCAAAGAGTGCTTGTTAAGGGTTCCCCATCCTCTTGGAGAGGAGTGACAAGCGAAGTCCCTCAAGGATCTGTCCTGGGACCCGTTTTGTTCAACATCTTTATCAATGATTTGGATGAAGGAATAGAGGGAATGGTTATTAAATGTGCAGATGATACTAAATTGGAAGGGGTAGCAAATACAGTAGAAGACAGTCAGGATACAGAATGATCTTGACAGGTGGGAAAAGTGGGCTAAAACAAATAAAATGAATTTTAATGGGGATAAATGTAAAGTTCTGCATTTAGGTAGGAAAAATCAAATGCATAATTACAGGATGGGGTAGATTTGTCTTGGCAGTAGTATGTGTGCAAAGGATGTAGGAGTCTTAGTAGACCATACACTGAACATGAGTCAGGAATGTTACGTGGTAGCTAAAAAGGCAAATGCGATTGTGGCCTGTATCAGTGTCCAGATCACACGAAGTTGATGGAATCACTTTACTCTGCTCTGGTTAGATCTCACCTAAAGCATTGTGTTCAGTTTTGGGCACCACAATGTAAGAAGGATATAGACAAGCTGGAACGTGTCCACAGGAGGGCAATGGAGATGGTGAGGGGTCTGGAGATCAAGTCCTATGAGGAAAGACTGAAGGAGCTGGGTATGTTTAGCCTGGAGAGGAGATGACTGAGAGGTGATATGATAACCATCTTCAAGTACTTGAAGGGCTGTCATATAGAGGATGGTGGAAAGTTGTTTTCCGTTGACCCAGAACGTTGGACAGGAACCACCAACGGGTTGAAATTAAATTAGAAGAGTTTTCAGCTAAATTTTAGGAAGAACTTTCTGCCAGTCAGAGCAGTTCATCAGTGGAACAGAGGCTAGATGGCCATCTGACAGCAATGCGCATTCTGTGAACTTAGGCAGATCATGAAAAGGTAGGAAGGGTTGCATCAATGCTTAGTTCTTGTGGCCCTTTCTTACACGCCCAGGGAAATGCTTATCACCACGTTGGGGTCAGGAAGCAATTTTTCTCCAGGCCAGTTTGGCCAGGGATCCTGGATGTTGGGGTTTGTTTGTTTGTTGCCCTCTTCTGGCATAGAGCAGGCATCACTGGGGGTGGGGGGGTATTTGTGAATTTCCTGCCTTGTGCAGGGGGGTTGGACTAGATGACCCTGGAGGTCCCTTCCAACTCTATGATTCTATGATTCTAAAAGTCTCTGGCACAAATTAACAGGAAAATAATTGTACAATATTGTGACATATTCAGAAATAGTATGATATATTAAGAAACTAGGTAAGCTTGATTAATAAAAAGCATAGTAAAAGATCACATAACCTCATGATATTATTGACTATTTTTATTTACATTATTTATAGTCTGCCTTTCTCACTGAGACTCACGGTGGATTACATAGTGTAAGTCAAATATAATCAACAGGATGGAACATACAATAAACAGTGCAAAGAGGTTTGGAATGTAGAAATCTGAAAACAAGCAGAAATCTGAAACAGAGGTGAAACAAACCATAAGCATTTAAACATGACATATTAAATGATGCAGAAATTACAAAATGGAAGCATACTTACAGCAACAGACAGTAGTCTACAGTCCCTATATCTTTACCAAAACATTTTTTTCTGAACCATTTCATTTCAGAACAGACTTATCACCTGCATATAAAAGCACTCCTGAATCATTCAGTTTTCCTTATTTTGCAGAAAGCCAGAGAAATGGGAACCTTTCTGACCTCATCAAGAAAGCCGTTTTATAAGATGGGCAGTTGGTGATTGTGATGCTTCTTTCCCCCTCACACAGAGTGCCTACCACCCTCTAAAACCAATCTCAGGTTTCGGGTTACAAATAGATCAGGACATCACAAGTTACCCTTTTCACCTCTTTTAAAATATATGGGAAGCCTTGACCATTTCCCTCACAGGTCCTCTCTCTCACTCGCAGTGACATCAGCAGATAGGGTAGCGCAGCCTCCTTAAATAATAGGCCCTCCCTCACACAGTTATTGGAACTGGGGCTCAAACAGTGTTCCATTCACACGCTGCCACCATTTATTCATACCCTATAATACACATATAGACCGAGATATTAATGTGTGTGTGGTGCGCACGTTTATGTTTCTTTCCCTGAGACACACAGCCCACAGGGTTAAACAAAACTAGAAGTTAACTTTTATTTATGGTATTAACATAACTGAAGAAAAGTAAGGTAGAAGTTACAACATTTTGCTTGAACTTTTGAACTGTTTTCCTATTCCTGCAACTGGGATCCTTTGGTTACAAATTCACTAGTTTCAGCTCGCTCTAAGCATCTCCACAGTTTCACTCAGTCAGATATCCTCTTTTCTCCTCTCAGCTCCCAACTGCTGTTCTTAAATGCTGCTTCCTCGTTGCCTCTCCCTAACATTCTGTCAGTTCTCATTGGTTGCTCTTAGAGAGAGGTGGAACCTACCCTGTCCCTCACAGTGACTTTGCCCATTTGCAGGCTGGCACTTGCAGAAGGCCCTGCAGACTTTGTATATGATAGACAATATCTTGACTCAAGCCTGGTAACTGATGGACAGCCATTACAGAATGGGAGTGATATATATGCTCTGCCTAGCTCCAGACAGTCACTGAGCTGCAACATTCTATACCAACTGGCTTCAAGGGAAGAAGTACATTGAGTGCATTACAACAGTCTAGTCTTGATGATACCACACAGATCCAGGTGGCCAGATAGGCTGTGTCAAGGTAGAGGGTTGTTCTGTGGGCTCGATTGACTTGAAAGAAAGTGTTTTTTGCAGCTGCATTAATTTGTTTCTTCAGCAGCAATGCTGGATTCAGTGTAACACCTAGGCCCTTAATGGAGTCAGCAGGGGTTTACTGTTTGTAATGTAATGTAATGTAATGTAAGTCAGCAAGCCAATATAATTATTAATACAACAAGGGCACAAAACCTAAAAGCTAAGTGATGAAAACTATTGGGTTGACCAACAGCTTTTCTGCTAGTGAAAATGGAAGGAAGGACCCCCCTTTTGACTACCGAAAAGTCTATACTGCGTATCATGAGACCTGTATGTACAAAACCCATGTGGACTGGGCCTGTAGTATGCAGCAGAATTGGGCAAGACTGAGTTAAGAAAGCTGGCTGGCTCCAACTAATTGTATTCATGTTCTGCTCAGTTCTTCAAAAGCACCACAAAAGACAATAAAATGATGAAAAGAATCTGCACACAAAGCATTCAGTAGGAAACAAGATTAAAAAGGCTCTGATTATTTAGTCTGCGGACAGAAGTTTGTAATCTTTAAGATAACATCAGAAAACTAAGGTTTAAGTTTTAGCCTTTGACAGATAAAGCAGTTCTCTGAAGATAGGGATGGAAGAGTTCAGACCAACTGTTAGCATTGATTCCTGTTAGCATTTTTATAAGTGTGTACAGGATTACTAAACTACTAGGACTATGAGTTGCAATGTCAGTTCTACCAAGACCATAATGATTCACTGCACTAATACAAGAAAACAATACCAGGGAAAGGAACAAAGGTAGAGAAGCTGCAGTCATGTTTACTAGTCAAAAGGTTAAGTCAATTACCTATAGCAGTGATACTCAGGGGCTCAGAAACAACATGTGGCTTGCTGACATAACATCTGTGGCTCTTCTGAGCACCATTCTCCAGTGTCCACTGTTTCCCCAACCCCCATTCCAGAAAACCACACAAAAAACCATTGCCTGGTGAAATTGCTGACCGGTAGTTCCCATCTTGAAACATCCAGCACCAGAGGGACTAGAGAATAGGTGAGCAGCAGACTCCATGCTAGGGATAGAAGTAAAGGGCCCAGGAAACCATATGATACAGCCACAGTTACAGCTCTATATTTAATAGTTTTATCTTATTGTATTTGTGTATTTGGTAGGGTGGCGCACAGGGCATACAGGAGTCATGTGGCTTTTCTGGTTTATGATCATTGTGAATCTGGCTCTCTGCAAGCCACAGAATCAGCACCATTGACTTACAACTTACTTATGGAATTTTATATAATTTATTAAATTTATATTCTATCTTCCTGCATTTCTGAAAACAGCAAGCTTGCACAGTTGAAGTGTAAGTTCCCTAGCTATTACTGCAATTCAGGACTTGGCCAAAAACTAGCTTTTCTTTGCATATCAGCAATGGAATGGAGGCTACCTATCAACTAGTATAGTAGATTATAATATCAATATGTTTAATTCTCAATGTGACCCATCTGTGGTTTCTTAAATCTGGAAACTGAGGCCATGGCCAGACAAGACAGATACATATGATAAAAGGAGTGTCTGTGGCTTTGGCAAACAGATGCCCTCAGTAGCCATTGCAAGGCAACAACAACAGTATTGCTATCCTTCAAGCCCTGTTTTTGTCAATAAAAGGTAAGGGGTGTGGGCAAGACTGTTTTGGCCTTTGAGAGAGGAATCATTCACACCAGGCCTGAAAGCAACCACCAGGTGACTTGCTACCACACAGCTTGCATGACTCACCCAGGTAGGCTGCTTGCTGCAGTTCAACAGCAGCCACTCCACAAAAGCCAGTGTGGTGTAGTGGATCAAGTTTCAGACTAGGATCTGGGAGATCCAGGTTCAAATACCCACTCTGCTGTGGAAGCTCACTGGGTGATTTTGCGCCAGTCACATATGCTCAGCCTAACACACATTACAGGGCTGTTGTGAAGATAAAATGGAGAAGAGTAGAATGATGTAAGCTACTTTGAATCTCATCGTGGAGAAAGACTACATATATAGGAGGTAAATAAATAATAAATATAGCTGAACATGGGGAGAGATAAAAGGTAGGTAGGTGGGTGGGTGGGAAGCAAGGAAGGAAGCAGAGAAAGGCAATTATGTAAGGGCTTCCAGGAGGAAGGAAAGAGGAAATAGTGTGGGGAGGGGGATACAGGGGACAGTGAAGTCCTCTCTTGCAAATCCTTGTAGGTTTTCCACTGCGCAACTGAGCCCTGCTCAGCCAGCATCACGTATCGGTGCAAGAGTCTTCCCAGGGAGAGGCTGCCAGGAGGAGGGAAAGCTGAAGGCAGAAGAGTAGATACAACTGAGTTGGCTTGTGGGTTGGAAGGAGAGAAGGATGCAGGAAAAGGGGAGAGACCATGGGAGGTGCCAGGGAAGGGAAATAGTGGGGGAGGGGAAACTGAGATGCCCCACAAGTCCTTGTGGGTCTCTCACTTGTAATAATATAAAAATTGCAAAACAAAGTGAGGTAACAATTGAAATGCAAATTTTAAAGGGGAAAAATCTTACTTACAGTCTTTTCATAGATTCCAAATGACTAAATGTTCCAGGAGTTAAATGTGATATTCTGTTGTTATGTAAAAATCTGTGGAAATATTGCACTTATAAATAAAGGCTTCACTTTTTACTAAGCTCCCCTCTCCACATACACGGTAATATTTTTCCTCTTTATTTCTTTTAAAAACAAACTATTATGAAAATACAAGCCACGAACATCCTGCGTATAATTTACTTCAGATTGTCACCTTTAAACTGTTTAATTTTATTAGGAGAAATGATGTATGGTGAGATTATAATAGTTTTTTTAACCTGTTTTACTCTTCTTCTGAATAGTCTATGGGCCATGATAAAGACTGACTGACTGAAAATAGTGTTGCACTTACCTTTAACTGTTGTTCATCAAGTGCTCTTCTGTATAGGCACACATGGGGTCTGCGCACTCACAGGCCTGCTGCAGAGGATGAGTTTTCAAAGCTTAGAAGATTCTAGAGCCTAGCAGTGCTCCCCTCTCCCCTCCGTCTCGCCTCCCACATTTCACATCCGATTGAGCACATGATAGAGCCTGGTTGACCACTAAGCCTCTGAATCCCAGGAGAAGGCCTCGGCCTCTATGCTGTGTTGGCTGTCCAGAGGAGCTGGTTGGCCACTGTGTGAGACAGGAAGCTGGACCAGAGGGACTACTGGTCTGATCCAGAAGGGCTCTCTTCTTATATTCTTATGGAGGGGGGGAGTGCCCCTCCCTCAATTTTCCCTTTGCTGACACATGAGGAGAAAGAGGCTAGCAGAGCAGTGCACTGCATGGAAAGGAGGGATGTGTGCTTGCACAAAAGACCACTCGATGAACAACAGTTACAGGTAAGTGCAACACTATTTTCATCATCGTGGCTTCTGTGCAGTCACACATGGGAGAGTAGCAAGTTCATTTATTGCAACTTGTGCTGAGAAGAACTACACTTCTGACACTCAGCGTCTGGGAAAGGTGGTTGCTGAGTCACATAGGGAGTGTAGAGTGGTTTCTGATCCCATGAGCCCCACTGAGGAGGGCACATCATGGGGAATGGGAACCAAGGTCCTTGAGTGGGGTGCCTAGGAGAACAGTGCAGAGGGTGCTCCCAGTTCAATACCCGAAAGTGGAGACACGGGGATTTCAAAAATATCATCTTCGGATGATCTTGGAGATCCTGGCACTGGGACGATGGAAATGGTTTGGGTGGGCAGGGAAGACACTCGATTCCAATGTTCCTGGGTGATGGTCAGTGTCAAGGAGGCAAAGCCAAGAGGTGATGTGTTGAAAGTGAGTCTGCTGGTCAACACTGACTAAGCAATTTGCTTTGGCATCGGGGAGAAGGGGGAACGTTGGGGACTGATGTTGAGGGGAACTCAGATTGCATGTTTCACCTTCTTCTTTGCCTATTCTGAAGAGGGACCGACCCTGTTCTCTGTGCTGCCAGCAATTCTTCCACCGATTCTGACACTGCTGGCTGTAGGTGCCGAGATCACCAAGGGTGTTCTGGCCCTTTTCTTGGAATGAGCCTGTTTTTCTGAATGGGAATCAGAAGTGCCCAAGGCCCTCTCCCATAGGGCTGCCTTTAGTCACGCTCCTCTTTTGTTACTAGCCTTTGAGGTGAGGAAATGGCATGTGGCACAGGAGGCAGTGTTATGGCCTTCACCCAGGAAGAGCAACTGCAAATTGTGTTCATCATTCTGTGCCATTTTCAGCTCAGAATTTCCACATTTTTAAAAGCACTCCATCTCCTACCCAGCAAAGATGAACTTTGAAGAATTTTTTTTTTCTCAGAGGAAGAAAAAGCAACAGCTTTGGGGGGGGGGAAATCACTCCTCATGGTGGTAAAGAGAGAACTTCAGGGAAAGGCACTCCCCCACCTCTGTCATCTGCTCAGACAGGTGGGAAACACCAGTCATGAGACAGAGGGGAGGGGCAGAGTGCTCCTAGGTTCTAGAATCTTCTAAGCTTTGGAAACGTGTCCTCCACGGCAGGCATGCAAGTGAGCAGACCCCATGTGTGATTGCACAGAAGCCACGACAATGAACAAGCTATTATCCATGCTACATACAACTATATTTATATAAAAAGGGACCGGAATTCCTACTAATAGGCACACAAGACACTTATGCAGACTAGAAGTAACTAGCTAACAACAGCACCATCCTTAGCAGTTATACCTTTCTAAGCCCATTGAATTTAGTAGCTTTTGAAATGTGATTTTGCTTCAGATGGCACTGTAAATATAAAATGAATGGGGATACAAAGTTCAGTCCTATACATGTTTACGTATTGGAGCTTTTCCCCATGCAGCCTTATAATATAATTTCTATACTCTACCCAGCCTTATAACATAATTTCTACACTCCACTAGCCTACTAAAAAGCTTGTCCAAATAGCAGCTTACCCAGTGGCTGGTTTACCACAAAAAAAGGCAATAAACAGTACGATAGGTTAACCCACAGCCACCATTTTGAACTTTACCACTTACACTGATCCTATTAGTTCCTAGCTTGCCTTTTGGATTAAAAAGTATCACCATAGAGACTTCCATAGTTTCTATGGACCTTAGATGAATCAAATTGCCTGGCACCCCAAAAACCTGCCGCCTGAGAGCAGTTTAAGAGGATTTAAATTTTAAAAAAAACTTACAATCTTTCAAGTTTGGGAAGATGGGTAAATGATTCTGGCTCCAAGGTTTCAATCTGATTAAAGTGCAGATACCTGTAAAGATGTTAGAAAACATATATAACACAGAAAAAGCTCAAAACTTCTTTAAAACATGCAAAAATCACTTCAAGTCCGCTTTTCCATGTGAAAAGCAACAGCCAAGATTAAAAAAGAACAAAGAACACTGGAACTCCCATGTCAGATAGGATTTATACATGCTAGCATAAATTCTCTGATCCCTGGGGAATATAAGAAATTTCAGGAAAAGTCTACAATTATTTATCATCTATTGATTTAAGGTAAATATTTAGGAAAAACTTTTTTATTTATTAAAGATTAAATAATACCTTTCTCTACAACATTTAAAGTAATCTAGTTGTATTTAGTAAAATACATTCATTAGACAGTGTGACTTTTTCATAAAAGAGAGGTTTTTCTTAATCTGGTCATGCATATTTTATCTTGTGTTACTAACGACAATGATACCATCCACATTTACTAGGAAGTAAAGCTGTAAAGTGATTCTGATTCTTAAGTAAATATGTACAAGATTTTACTATAAATTAATGATGATCTGTAGATAAGTTGGACAATAAAACCAATATATACTTCTTTTTAAATGTTCTTTTAAAATTTATATTATCTATAATCTGCTTTTCTCTCTGAGGTTCACAGCAGATTACACAGTGTAAATCCAAACAATCAACAGGCTGGGACATGAAATAAACAATGCAATAAAATTTGGTTTGCAATAATCTGAAACCAAGCAGAAAACTGAAAGACCTGAAACAAACCTGGAACAAAGCATAACCATTAGCATGATACATTAAACAATGCAGAAAAACCATAGAAGGGCCATTTTTACAGCAATAGCCAGTACAGACTATACACAGTAATATAGTCTGCAGCTCCTTTCCCTTCACCAAAGTATCTTTCTGAACAATTTAGTTTCAGTACAGACCTATTACCTGTAAAAAAATGACCTCCTAAAAAATCCAGTTTTGCACAGTTTGCGGAAAGCCAGGGAAGTGGCAGCCTTCCTGACCTTATCAAGCAGGCCATTCTATAGGGTGTATGTGTCACAAAAAAGAATGTACATGTATGGGCAATTGTTGATTTTGTCCATTTGCAGGTTGGCACCTTCAGAAGCTCTAACCTGGAGGCTAGCCCAATCTCATCAGAACTTGGAAGCTAAGCAGGGTCAACCTTGGCTAGTATTTGGATATGCAACCACCAAGGAAGTCCAGGGTTGCTATGCAGACAGAGGCAATGGGAAACCACCTCTGAACGTCTCTTGCCTTGAAAACCCTACGGGGTCACCATAAGTCAACTGTGACTTGATGGCACTTTCCACCACCACTTGAAGAAGGCCCTACCCAGATGAGCAAATTTGTAGTGGCATATCATAGGGGTAGAGCTGGTCTGCAGATATGAGGAACCAAGGTCATGGAGATAATCTACAGATAATTTGAACCAATAACTAGTTGGATTAAATATATGTCAATACCACAGATTCTGCTTCAAAATCTTCCTCTCTAATTTTAAAAAACCCCTCCTCCTTGAAGGTTTAAGATGATTGATCTTATTGTAATTATCATGTGATAGTCTGGTCATTTGAAGCTTGCATTCTCTGGTGGTATGTCTGTGTGTGCAATAGTTTTCAGAGGCCAGTCTCACAAATAGGTATCAGATACAAGGAGGGACTACAACCAATCCATGGCTACTGGTGCCCACAGATCCTACCACCAAGGTCTAATCAATAAAAGTCTGAAGACATGTGTATAACCCCTGCAATAAGGGTTCTGAAACAATCTTCCATTTCTGGCTGGGAGAAACACCTAGAGGGTAGGAACGAAGTGGTTCTCGTTTACTTCCACAATGAGACCAAAACAAAATGGTGGTTGGTTAGGGTTGCCACCCTCCACCTAAGGGCTGAAGATCTCCCAGAATTACAACTGATCTTCAGACTGCAGGATCAGTTCCCCTGGAGAAAATGGCTGCTGTGAAAGAGGGACTCTACAGCATTATACCCCACTGAGGTCCCTCCCCAAACCTCCAGGAATTTCCTAACCTGAAACTGGCAACCATAAGGCTAGGGGGTTTGGGTGATTAATGGCTCAATGCTCATCCAATATTTCTTTATCTTAAACATTTAAAGCTGCCTTTGCACCAAACTTATGGCTCCCAATATGACATCATTATCTACAGCAGACTTCTGTAAATAAATATAACCAAGACACTCCTGCTTACAAACCAGTTTGGTGGTGGAAGGTACTGTCAAGCCACAGCTGACTCATGGCAACCCCCCCCATAGGGTTTTCAAGGCAAGAGATGTTCAGAGGGGGTTTCCCATTGCCTGCTTCTGCGTAGAGACCTGGTATTCCTTGGTGGTCTCTCACTCAACTCCTAATCAGGGCTAACCTTGCTTAACTTCCAAAATCTGACGAGATCAAGCTAGCCTGGACTATACAGGTCACAGAGCAAACTAGTTTAAAATACAATTATTCTCTGAAACTCTCAGCTCAAATGTATAAATAAAAAACTGTAATTTATGCAAATATTTAGTTCCACCAATGACCATATACTACATTAATGTTCAACATGCATAAACAGAACCACTGATTTTTTACTTTCTGCACAGGCGAATACAGGAAATAATTCATGGTGCCCAAGATGAACTACAAATTTGAGTTCAGTTCCATGTCACACACTAATAATTCTTTTTGTTCCTATATCATGAACTATAACACAGATCAAACCTCAGTAGTACAGGCTACATTTTATAAGGTCCAGGGTTCTGTTCCTAGCATTTTCTCTTTAATATTTAGTAACAATACTGGAGTTAAATAATGACTTCTGTGCATTTATAGTAATAACTGAAGTTAGAAACATTGTTCTTACAAGTGCTAAGAAGAAAGCAAAAACATTTTGATTTTGAATATACCTCAAAAAAGTTAGAATATAAACAAATAACTAGTGCTTACAGAGACAGAGTTAGGAAAGCTAAAGCTCAGTATGAGCTTAAGCTAGCAAAAGATGCTAAAAACAACAACAAAAGGTTATTTTCTTATGCTTAAAGTAAGAAAAAGAGCAAGGACATTGTAGTCTCATTGCAGGTACAGGAAAGGGAAATTGCTCAATTCCTACTTTTCCTCAGTCTTCTCTTGTGAGGGAAATGGTGCTCAACATGGCAAACACAGAACACATGATGAGGGAAGGGAGCTGCAGCCTAGGATCAACATAGTACAGCATCCGAATGCGACCCCATAGAGAAGCCTCCAGCGTCCGGATTGTAGTAGAGATCCTCAATAGGCTCGCCTTGAAGTATCATAGGCGACATCGATCGGTGCTGCAAGCTAGCGGAAGCCTCCTGAGTGCAGTGGCAAGGAAGCCACGGTGGGGGCATCTGTATATCCTCATCCGGAAGCGGACTGACGGACCCGACCATCAGGAGATCCGGTGAAGGCGATCTGTCTCCTTGGCGCAGTTCCAACACTGGAGACATATCGGTACCGAGCACCGGTACCGATGCACGCTCTGCCTGTTCGCTCGGTGCCGAGCGGATGTCTCGGCGTCGAGGAGAGCGACCTCTCGACGTCGAGCGTGGCGCCGAACCATCCCCGCGCCGAGGCGACGGTGACCGTCTGCGCCGAGTCGGCGTCGATCCCTCGGTTCCGACGTCCTCGGTACCGAGGCGCATCGGCGGCGAAGAACGCTCCTGCGTCTTCTTATGCTTTTTGGCCTTTTTGGCCGGCGGTACTGAGCCAGCGCGAGACTGGGCAACCGCCTTAGCAGCTTTTGGCCGTATCGGGGCTGAGCACACCGAAGGGGTCTTCACTTTCTCTTGCTGGCCAGCAGTAGATACGGACAGGGCCCTCTCCCACAGCGCCGCTTTCAATTTGGCAGACCTCCCTTCACGAGCCCTCGGGGTGAGGGCCTTACAGGCCTTACAGGCTGCCATATTATGGGTCTCTCCCAAACACAGCACACAGGCTGAGTGCTCGTCAGACTTAGACATCTTAGCCCCACAAGTCTTACAATTTTTGAAGAGGGCCACTTTCTCCTTTTTCTCTTCTTTCTTTGAAGCCATTTTTCTTCTGAGGAAAATGTCTTCCCTCAAGCTTAGTTGTTCGCTCGCTCGAAGAACACGTCCTCTTTCGGTGGCGGCAGAAAGAGAACTGAGGGGAGAGGGCTGGCTCCGCCCAGGTCAGGTGGTGTTTTGGGAAAGCAAAAACATTTTGATTTTGAATATACCTCAAAAAAGTTAGAATATAAACAAATAACTAGTGCTTACAGAGACAGAGTTAGGAAAGCTAAAGCTCAGTATGAGCTTAAGCTAGCAAAAGATGCTAAAAACAACAACAAAAGGTTATTTTCTTATGCTTAAAGTAAGAAAAAGAGCAAGGACATTGTAGTCTCATTGCAGGTACAGGAAAGGGAAATTGCTCAATTCCTACTTTTCCTCAGTCTTCTCTTGTGAGGGAAATGGTGCTCAACATGGCAAACACAGAACACATGATGAGGGAAGGGAGCTGCAGCCTAGGATCAACATAGTAGTAGTACATAAACACCTAGTTTCTTTAAATGAAACTAAGTCCTCAGGGCCAGATGAACTGCATCCAAGAGTACTAAAAGTATAATTTCTGAGCCTCTGTCCATTATTTTTTGGAATACTTGGAGAACAGGTGAGGTGCCAGAAGATTGGAGGTAGGCAAATGTTGTCCCCATCTTCAAGAAAGGGCAAAAGGAGGATCCAGGAAACTACCTACCCATCAGTTTGACATCGATACCTGGGAAAGTTTTAGAACAAATAATCAAAACAGATAGTCCTTGAGCATTTAGAAAGAACAGCTGTGATTACTTAGAGCCAGCAAGGGTATCTCAAGAACAAGTCATGTCAGACGAATTTTCCCCATGCAGTGGCACACTGAAAAAAAAGTTACTTCCTTGCTGGATCAGGAGAATGCTGCAAATATAGTATATCTTGATTTCAGGAAGGCTTCTGATAAGGTTCCACATAATATTCTTGTTGACAAGCTGGTAAAATGTGGTTT